CTCCATTCATTTCATTTGATTTCATTTGCATCTTGTATTAAAATATCAAAACAGAAATATGTCTGTGCGTTTTAGTACTTCTTAAGACTATCAATGCACATTCAAGACCCAGATCAATCCCCAAAAATGCTGACTGTTCTCCTTAAAATAAATTTTCCATTTTTTATGGCCTGAGGGGTGGGGCATGGTCCAAAAATTAGCGCCTAAATAAGCCAGTGCTAGTCTAGGACAGGTGGTATCAATTCTTCGCATCGAGAGTAATTCTTTCCGGAATGATTTCAAATTTTTTATCGACCAGCCTGATTAACACCACACTAATAATACAAATATCCAGTAGACTATATTATCCAGACCACACTAATAAGGCATGATAACCAGTAGACTACATTATCCAGACCTTAGTTTTGTTTTTATTTTAGTTTGTCTTGAGTTTAGTAAAGTTGTTTTTAATTTCAGTAATTGTTTTTATTTTATTTTGGATTTTGTTTTGAAATTTGTTTTGTTTGTGTAGTTAACATTTGTAGACATCTTAACAAATTAGCCCAATCCTAATCTTGGAAGAAATGAACAAAAGATTTTTCGTGTCTCTGTAATGTCAACTCTTACAATTAATACGACAATTTTTCTAAGATGGTGTTTTATAATGTCAAGGTATTAGAAGATGTTCGTAATACCTTGACATTGTGAAGATGAAAAATGTCAAGGTATTGGATTACTATTAGAAGATGTTAGTAATATTTTGACATTGTGAAAATGTGATACAAAGTGACTATTGCAGTCAAGGTATAAGCTGAAGTTTGTAATAGTTTGACATTGTGAAGATGTGTTACAAGAAAGGTGACTACTGCAGTCAAGGTATAAGACGATGTTCCTAATACCTTGACTACAATAGTCACCTTTCACCTATTAGACGATGTATCTTTACATTGTGAAGATGAAAATGTCAAGGTATTAGACTACTATTAGACGATGTATCTTGACATTGTGAAGATGGAAATGTCAAGGTATTAGACTACTATTAGACGTTGTCTGTTATATCTTGACATTGTGATGATGAAAAATGTCAAGGTATTAGACTACAAAAGAATGATGTTCGTAATACCTTGACAATTCTTGATACTTTCTCAAACCCTTCACTGTACTGCATGTTAATGTAAATTTTATTTTTCAAGGGAGATAAGTTAATGCGTCTGCCAAGCGAGTCGTATGATAAACATGACTTGATGCGGAGTTTGAGTGTCGTTAACGATGGTGGACCGGAGGAAGTGGTGGAGGCAGATGACTATCTTCAACCGCATCCCAACTCAGACGACAGTATTGATAATAATAACGGACAGGCAAAGGTAGATAACTCTCATCAAACGTTCTTTCTGGATTCAGTAAACTCATTTGGTGACAATTTCGAAAACGCTGGCCTTGAATTTTTATTACTTACTTATGGCAGTTAACTCGAGGGGGATAAGAGTTGAAAGCTGACAGTTTGGAGATTCGAACCCACGACAATCCAACTCACTACTGACTGAGCTATTCCACTGTCCTAGCAGACAACAATCCAACTCACTACTGACTGAGCTATTCCACTGTCCTATCAGACGACAATCCAACTCGCTACTGACTGAGCTATTCCACTGTCCTATCAGACGACAATCCAACTCACTACTGACTGAGCTATTCTACTTTCCTATCAGACGACAATCCAACTCACTACTGACTGAGCTATTCCACTGTCCTAGCAGACAACAATCCAACTCACTACTGACTGAGCTATTCCACTGTCCTAGTGGACGACAATCCAACTCGCTATTGACTGAGCTATTCCACTGTCCTAGCAGACGACAATCCAACTCACTACGACTGAGCTATTCCACTGTCCTAGGAGACAACAATCCAACTCACTACGACTGAGCTATTCCACTGTCCTAGCAGACAACAATCCAACTCACTACCGACTGAGTTATTCCACTGTCCTAGCAGACGACAATCCAACTCGCTACTGACTGAGTTATTCCACTGTCCTAGCAGACGACAATCTAACTCATTACTGACTGAGCAATTCCACTGTCCTAGCAGACGACAATCCAACTCGCTACTGACTGAGTTATTCCATTGTCCTAGCAGACGACAATCTAAATCATTACTGACTGAGCAATTCCACTGTCCTAGCAGACGACAATCCAACTCGCTACTGACTGAGTTATTCCACTGTCCTAGCAGACGACAATCTAACTCATTACTGACTGAGCAATTCCACTGTCCTAGCAGACGACAATCCAACTCGCTACTGACTGAGCTATTCCACTGTCCTAGCAGACGACAATCTAACTCATTACTGACTGAGCAATTCCACTGTCTTAGCAGACGACAATCAAACTCACTACTGATTGAGCTATTCCACTGTCCTAGCAGACGACAATCCAACTCACTACTGACTGAGCTATTCCACTGTCCTAGCAGACTCCAACTCGCTAAGGAAACCAACTGAGGTATCCCAAGCTATTTTGTATATAATATTTGTCAAATGCCTATTGCACATGTAAATGTTGTACTGATGTACGTAAATGTCGCACAATTTTGCACAATATCTTCTCACAAGTAAACTTAAGCCATCACAGATGTTACGTTTCACGATGTTGTTTTTTTCTATATCTTTAAATATGTTATTCGTGATCATTGAAAAAATGTTGTTTTATGTCTAAACCATTTGTCCCAAAATGTTTGGTTTGTCTTTGATGTTTTGTCCCTTTCTGTTACCCCATTTTCACACTATATTGAAAACACAATTGGAAAAAAGATCTTTTGAGCACTAATTAACCACGGCCTTGAAAGTTGGAAGTTTTTCTATAGGAAAAAGATGTAGGATTATCCTAAAAAGCATTGAAAATTGGATACGCCGATAAAGTTTTACCAGCTCAAATTTACGTCACTTGAAGTTCGGCTAGTAACTCAAAAGCATTCTCAAACTTCTAGGACACCTTGGGGACTTAAAAACTCTGGTATACCTTGAATTTGTGACACTTTTTAAACATTTTCAGAGAACAAGTTATTATTGTCTGAGCAAAGTAAAAAGTTTTTTTGAATTGGAATATCAACCTCAAAAAAGTACTGTTAGTCTTACAGTGCAAGCAAGGAGCAGTCTTGGTCTTGGACTTTTTGCCACTAATTAAAGCCTGGTCTTGAGTTTCAACAACTGGCTGCAGGCACACGAGAAGACAAAAATCTCCAGTCGGTCGTTTTCCACATTGTTGATAATCATGTGAAGATCATGTAATTGAAAGGAAAATGAATCTGATTGGATGATGACGGTCTGTCTTACAGATGATAAAACTATCGGAGACAAATATCAAACTTGTTTTAAATTTATAAATCCTGTCGGGGACGCGATAATCTTTTCTTGGAAGTACTGGCTCATGTGAGATTTTACTCGAGATTCGAGTATTCTTGGTGGGAGACTTTTGCTGCCAATTAAAGTCTGGTCTTGAGTTTCAACGACCGGCAAGTGCACATGGGTAGACAAAAATCTCCATTGGGTCGTTATCCACTATGTCAATAATCATGTGAAGATCATGTAAT